GGAGGAGAAGGGATTGCAGCATGGCCATCCCCCCTGAGGGGTGATTTCTCGCTTTCTATCTCTCTGTCTCTCTCTGTCTTTCTGGAGAGTGTACGCATCCTATAGCGGGGGGTGGGGGTGGGAACCCTCTCCAAAAAGAAAAAATGTTCTTGCTTAATCATTTACTAATTCTTTATACTTACGCCTAAAGGTGTACCCCAGTGCAGGTCATAAACCATTTTTTTATACTCATGACCTCCTGGTGCACATTCTGAACTCTGTAATACTGAGCCCATTCTGACTTTTATTTGCTTTTTAAAATCTGAAATGACTAATCAAGATGAAAGCTACCACCTTGATAATATGTCATCAGATACCTTCTATTAATGTAGACAAGAAGTCATTGAAGTAGGGACAAGCAGATGGCATAATGGTTACATCACTGAACTCCTACATAGTCGACTGTGGTTCGAGTCCCCAATATGGTGTATTAAAACTCCTCCAGGCGCATGTGAGTGTGTGCCCAAAATCCTGAGAAGAGAATGGAGGAGAAGGGACTGAGGTGTGGCCATCCCCCGGGAGGTGATTTCTCACCTTCTGTCTCTCTGTCTTGTCAGCAGGCATATACACCCTATAGCAAAAAACTGTCTTAAAACAACAACCAAAAAAAAGTCATTAAAAGTGAAACAGAACAGCTAAGAATTCCTTTGCACCCACCTGTAAATGGACTAGGGCAAGCAGACTTTGACCCCCAGAACTAAGCAAAAAGCGGCACCACTGCTTTCAAGTGCCAAGAGGAAAATTGAAGATTTTTGTTTTGTTAGGTTTTTGTCACATGGTGCATGTGTTCAACTGAGAGAGGCAAAGTGAGAAATCACTCACTGCGGGGACAGCCACATCACAATCCCTTCTCCTCCATTCTCCTCTCAGGATTTCGGGCACTGTTCACACACGCCTGGCATGACTTTCAAACCACCAAGTCCAGGACTTGAACTGTGGTCAGCCATGTAGGAATCCAGCGCCTTACCCACCACGCCACCTGCTGGCCTTGAAAACTATAGTTTTTAACAGTATTTATCTCAATCTATTAATATTAACATATAGGGTTGAACTTCTATGACACAAGATTTTCAGAAAAGGAACTGCAGAGTCCGGAAGGGAACAACAACAGAACTTGATGCCCTGTGAGGCTAACATACATGGGAGTTCCTGGTTCACATCTGAAAACCTCCCTGAGAAGGATCACAGCCCACGATCCAGAGTTGGCTAAGACTGGAAGTGGATCACAGCACCAAGATCCTATTAGGGGTGCTGTCTCCTCCTCTTTCTCTTGTTCATCTAAGAAACTAAATAAATAAACAACAACAAAGAAAAGAAACTGCTTATTGAAGAAAACA